GAGGCTCTGACAATAACCTCCAATGCAAAGCCAGTCTGATGATGTAAGGACTCATCCAGTTTGCAGGAACCTGAGGGCCACTGAGATATTTTTAAGTCAGATGTGACTAAATTGGACTTTCCCAGCTAGTATTTATTGGTGCGTATGGTGAAGATCACTGTTTCCATTGGTTAAATATTATTTTGATCTTCAACAGGATTCTCTGCACAACTAAGTCCCACATTGAGACTCTCATTTTGACTCCCAAGTCTGGCTATTGCAAGGTACAATTTTCAAGGTATCTGAATATAGGTAGTCCTTGAATTATGACCATAATTGAGCCCAACATTTCTGTTGTTATTTGTTAAGTGAGTTTTGTCTCATTTTATGACCTTTCTTGCCCCAGTTGTTAAGTGAATTACTCAGTGGATAGGTTAGTAATATGGTTGTTAAGTGAATCCATGTTCTCCATTGACTTTGCTTGTCAGAAGGTCGTAAAAGGGGATCAAATGACCCCGGGACATAGCACAGATCATAAATATGAACCAGTTGCCAAGCGTCTGAATTTTGATCACATGATCATGGGGATGCTGTAAAGGTCGTAAATGCGAAAAACAGCCATAAGTCACTTTTATCAGTGTCGTTGAACCCTCACTAAATGAACTGTTGTAAGTCAAGGACTGCATGTATTTGGTCACATCCAGAACATGAATTTGCCCAATCTAGGTAAATAGGATTAAAGTGGACCATTACTACTATAGTTTCTTTTTCAGACATTTCTCTAATTTTCCATGTGTAGATGAGTTTTAGCTTCTCAATCTGGGGAGCAATAGCTTATCATAGAACTAATTTGTTTTGGATGATTGCTGTGACTACTAATAGAAAGGGTTGGTTCCATTTATATCTTTATTGGTTGACTAAAATAATTTCCTAGACTTTTTATTTGTTCTTATAACTCAAACTATATGAAAAGTTGCCCATTGTGAGTGAAGGTTTTCTTTCTTCTAAGTAGAAGGCTAGTATGCCATTGTCTCTGGCTTTCTGGTTTGGCTCTTCAGGCATTTGGGAGTTGGATAAGTTTTGCTTCTACTACCACTGCTTTGACACTTCTGTATTTGGAGGTTCCTTGCTCAACAGTAGTAACTGTGAGAGGGGTCTTGGAGTCCTAGTAGACAACCATTTAAATATGAGCCAGCAGTGTGCAGCAGCTGCC